CAGTGGGTTACTGTCTGTACAGGTGCGGACCAGTGGGTTACTGTCTGTACAGGTGCGGACCAGTGGGTTACTGTCTGTACAGGTGCGGACCAGTGAGTTACTGTCTCTACAGGTGCGGACCAGTGTGTTACTGTCTGTACAGGTGCGGACCAGTGTGTTACTGTCTGTACAGGTGCGGACCAGTGTGTTACTGTCTGTACAGGTGTGGACCAGTGTGTTACTGTCTGTACCTGGAGCAGGGCTGCTCTGTGGAGTCTGTGCAGGTGTGTTACACTCTGGATAGACATGGCTGTAATGTGTAGTTTTCCTCTTTAACTGTGGCTGCACAGAGCAGCCGAGGTCTTCATTCGGGACAAGTACGAGAAGAAGAGGTACATGGACAGGAGTATCGACATCCAAGCCTTCCGGGTGAGTGTGTGGCCGCTGCCCGGCGCCTGCAGGAGCTGTGGGGCAGCGTGTGTGAGCCCTCCTCTCTCTGCTCTGCCTTTCAGAGGGAGAAGAGCAGCGTCGGGGCGAAGGAGAAGAAGGCGGAGCCGGTGATCTTTGAGAAGGTGAAGCTGGTGAGTGGGGTCAGGGAGAGCAGGGGGATCAGGGGGGTCAGGGAGAGCAGGGAGAGCAGGGAGAGCAGGGGGCTCAGGGGACACAGGGAACTGAAGAGCAGGAGCAGAGCCGTACTCCGGACCTGTCGGACCTGCTCTGAGATGGTTGCTCTGTGGGTGTGAATTGGCTGCAGTCGTGCCCTCCTGGGCAGGTCTGCTCTCTGCAGCCTCACGGGGGAGCTGCGTGTCACTCAGCATTGCAAGGCTTGAGAGAGTCAAGTGCTGTATTGATCATATCGACTAATTGATGGGTCAACCTGAGTTCTGGTTTTCCTTGTTTTGCAGAAGAGGGATGAATCCCAGCAGCTCAAGACCAGCCCAACCAAACCAGCGCAGCCTGAAGTCGACCTCCTGGGTCTGGGTAAGAGAGCCCCTGTTCCCGTCTCTGGGAGAGGCCCCTCTGCTTCTGTCGCTTGCTTGGTGAAACGTGTGATGCTTCCTGTTCTTAAACAGGAACCTCCTCACACAAAGGGCTTTGAGAGTCTGCAACAGCAAAAGCAACGCGAGCCAAATCGGCCCAATGGCTTCCTGTATCATTTGTTACCAGTCTCGTGTTCTAATGCAGTGCCCTGTGTCGCTCCTTGTCGGGCTGCGCAGCCGGCCCTTTACGTGTTCCTGGTGCTCAGTGTTGCTCAGTGTCGGGCTGCGCAGCCGGCCCTGTGCGTGTTCCTGGTGCTCAGTGTTGCTCAGTGTCGGGCTGCGCAGCCGGCCCTGTGCGTGTTCCTGATGCTCAGTGTCGGGCTGCGCAGCCGGCCCTGTGCGTGTTCCTG